TTGATCCTACTTGCACAAAGCCTGAAAATTAAACTGTTAGTTTAGGCATCTAAACTAGTTTGAAGCCTGGGAAAACAGATGAGTTTCTGATTGATGCATCAAACGAGGTTGCAGAGACTGGTTTCGTGTCAACTTTTAATCCTAGTCCTGGGTGTGTGTGAGTTTTTGGAGTGTTGTGCCTTTTTATAAAGTTACAAGGTTTCTGAAAAGGATCAGTTTTGATATGAGATAACCTTTTCTGACAACTACGTTGACATTGACAAGCTGAAATTTTGTCTTTTGTTTTGGCACTTTGTTTGGTCAGCGGTCGGAAGGATGTGGTAGATTTGTGACTGGTTCGAGGTTGGTAAGATCTGACATGTGTGCTGTTGGAATTTGAAAAAGTTTGTTTCGAAGAAGATTTAGCACGGGTAGATACCTTGGACCTTTTTCTAGGATTTGGTAAAACGCCCTTCCACTTGTTGAAATTTTTATGTGATTTTAAAAGTCTTGGAGTGGGTAAGATACCCTTCCATTTTGGATTATCTGAGGAATAGATTTCAAAACCATTGCTTCGAAAACACCTTTCTCTATTTTGGGTTTTGTCAGATGAGTTAGGAATGGATGTTGAAACTACAAATTCCTTTTTGCATGTTTTCTTGATCAGAGAGTTTTTCGAAAAATAGTGAGCAAAAACAAACTTTTCTGGACTCTTAGATTTTGGAAATCTGATATGTATTTTATTATTAGAAAAGGTTTGTCGATTTGTGCCTTGAGATCGAATATCCTCTTTGAAAGCCTTTTTTGCTAAAGTTTTTGAAGAACCGCAGTCATTATTTTTCAATTGTGGTTTCTTGGAAACCTTGGAAAAATTTTGACAACGAGGGCTTGACTCATCAGAACTTGAAGATTCAGGGTTTTGAGAGCATTGACCTACTTCAATGTTTTCTATGGATAGTTCATGTTGAATTGGCTGAAGAGTCATGAACCTTTTTAGTTTGGACTTTGGTAAGGAAGACTTAGCTACCGTAGCGTAAGTCTGAGTTGTGATTGGAGTGGGATTTTTCTGAGGATCATGACTACAGTAAGGGGCACTTCGGTCTGAGGACAAAGGTGGAAAGTCATGTAAGACTTCGAGACTTTCTATGACAATTTCTTCATCAACAACAGATGAGGTCTGAGAATTTGATTTGATTGTTCCATAGATAGGAGTTTGATCACATATGTGATCCAAAACCTCAGGCACAATTTCCTCAATGACAGAATTATTACTTAGATTATGAAGTCTACTGAAGTGAGTTCTGATATCTTCGGGAAAAGTCTTGTCATTGACTAGAAAATGAAATTCTCGGTCCAAAGGGACATAAAGTCGATCTTTGTTAAACCGGGGTGAGGAATCCTCTGCAGTAGGATATCCCAACCCCAATTGTATGTATTGTCCACAGTTCCATTATTAACCAAATTTTCAATAGCTTCACTTTCATTGAACAATTTTTCTATTAATAGATTTAAGTGTACAATCTCACTATGGGCTAAATCTATTTGGTTCAAAGCTATTTGTAGTTTGTTTTCACTTAACATGCTTGCATCTTTTTCTAACTCTAAATCTCTTTCTAACATGGCCATTTTGAGTCTTTTGTTGTCTAATCATCCTCTCACATGAAACATCTATTGGGACGCTATGTTCTTCTCATCTAAGGCTTTGTTGTAGTCAGTAAGGACAACAACACATGTGTCATTAAGATTGTCTATGAAAGGTTGACAGTCATGTATGTTATAGTTTAGATTTTGGATCATGAGTTTTACCTATTCGACGATGCTTAGAGTTCCATCCTTTGCCATGTAGCAGTAGTTCCTTTCCAGCTTTGTAGACCTATCATCATCAGCAGTTACTAGCATGCAAATCTTGCCTTTTCCTTTGATATTGCTGATGGTTTCATCTTCATCTACAGATGACCAAACTTGATGATCTCTTTTGACATGGGCCACATATGCCCTAGCCTTTTCCTTTTCCTCCAATTCTTGAGCCATTCTAAGGTAGAATGCTCTGTCTTTCACCACATTAGCTTTGCAATCCTTTCCAAAATGATTCTCTTTGTTACACTTGTGACATATTACAACATCACTTTTGTCTTCTGAAGGAGTACCGGAGTCAGAGGTTTGAATGGAATGTGGTGCCTCCTTTGGTTGAGTGTTTTGAGATTGCGGTGGTGGGTGAGAACTTTTAGGGTAATGATAGTGATTGTTTTGTGGGTTGAAGTTACGGTTCAAAGGAGGTTTGTTGAATTGTTGATTTTTGCGAAAAGAGGGAGGTGGTAGCCGGTTGAACTTTTTACTAACAAGAGCAATAGCCTTCTGAAATTCTTCTTCATCATCATACTTTGAGTCGGCTTTGTATGACTACGGTTTAGTGTCATACGAGGGAGAGTAAGATTGATTATGAGGAGCTTGTGCTACAAGAGCAAGTGGTCCTCCAAAGTCAGCACAGTCTTTGAGTACAGTGGATTCTTGTGCTTGCAATATCCATAGAGCTTGTAGAGAGACAGGGAATGAATCTTTCTATCTCCTTAAACAATCATCTTAGCATTAGTCCAATGTCTTCCCAAACCGTTGAGAAATTGAAAGTTTGTTTCATGGTTACTGTGGATGGTTCCAGCATTTGATAACTTAGTGACTATTAGATTGAACCTTTTGAAAGAGTCTTCTAAACTTTTGCCAGTATGAGCTTTGAAGTTGTTGAATTCATTAAGTGCAGTTGTAAGCTTCTTATCTTGAGCTTGTTCTGAGCCTTCATACAAGTTTTTGAGAACATCCCAGATCTCTTTTGCTGATTTACAATTTATGATAATGTCGAAGTTGTCAGGAGCAACTCCACAAGAGATTTCATAAAAAACAACAGCATCATTTTCCATTTTATCAAGATCATCTTTGGTGGGACAGTTCATGACTGGTTGTCCTCCTCCTAGTCTGGTTGTGGTGCCATCCGTTTGAACAGGTGTAAGAACAGGGACATATGCTCCTTCTTCAATAGATTGCCATACATCTCTACCAAGTCTCCTTAAGTATCTTTCCATTCTTTGAGACAAGTGATGGTATTCATTTGCCACCAATATTGGAGCTCGATTTGAACCTCCAACACTGTTGGAAACATTCAGAAAAAGTGCTTGTGCCATTATTACTTGTTTTTTTTTTAAGAAATGAGCTTCAGTGGTATAGAAGGTGATGAATCGTGAATTCGAGAATGAAATGAATCAGATTATGAATCTATGAAAGTATGACAGATTTGCACAAGGATGTAAATAAAATATGATTTCAGCTCAATATTATGCTTTGTGTTTACAGAGAATTCTTAGACAAAATCTGTACAAACGTTATCTACTCCTCTAGTATAGACTCCTATTTATAGGAGAACAAAACATACAAAATATATACTAAGGACTAAGCATGAAGCGCACTGAATACATTTCCCTAGTAAAATAAATACATAACATACGAACACACTAAACATACGAAGACATGAAACCCTTCGTATGACAACCTACACCCTTCGACTTACTACAACATTTTTTCTCCTACAATCTCCCCCTTTTTAATCAAATTCAAAGTCTTCAGTTGGTCAGTAGTTGGATTGAATACATCATAACCCTTCGTATCTCTATATACCATGAAATAACCTTCTTTATCTCCTTCTTATCTCCCTCGTTGTTCTTTCTGCAGTGGTTCATACGAACAATTAAATTCGTATATTGAGAAGTGTTGTATCTCTCCACTTCGCAAGTTTGGAATAAAAATCTTTTAGCCCTTCCTGCCTTGTCTTTTCCTGCGAAGACAATTCTCAATGGCTTTAAGCAGATTTCACCATCTTCAAATTTCTTTAGATCTACTTGTTTCTTCGTGGGTGCCATTGGTGCAGTAATCTCTATTCCTTTTGTCGTTGCCAACTCCACATCTGTTTGAGCAAGGCACTCAAAATAGTTTTCAATGAAAACTTTGATGTGTCGGCATCCAAGTTTGAAAACACCTGGATCTGTTTCTTGAAGATAGGAAAATGACTTGTCCTTTAGCAACAAAGCAATTTGTATAAGATCGTACAAATTCATCAATGGAAAATATGCTATGGTAAAGTCACACACTTTTCCACTTGATCTGATCACCGTGTATCAGATATTCTGAATAACTTCTTCAAAAACTACATCTCTTTTGATACTGATAACTTTCTTTATGTTCTCTAGTGACCAGACCTCTTTAGGTGCTTTTCCTAATACTGCATGAAAACAAATTTTTAACTTTTTCCCTTCATCAGCATCTTTACACTTAACCTCTGCTTTGAACTGAGACATGATGAACATCATATCATTAATAGGAAAATCCAGCTGACTTGAATCAGAATTAGTGACCACATATCTTTTCTTCGGAATCTTCTCAAATGAGTATATGTGATCAAACGTAACTCTTGCTTCAATTGTTTCATAATTGTACTGCTTTGATGGATCTCCTTTATCATGCTTTGATGGATCTTGAGCAAGAATAGCCATAATGCTCTAAAGTTGTCTCATCTTTTCTAATTCTTCATCAATTTCAGCTTTCCTTTCTTCTTTGGTCTTTTCTACCAAGATCCCTTTACCTCTATCTTTCGAAGCTGTCTCAGTTATCACAATCTTCGATTTTGAAGCACTACCAGTTGATTCACCAATAACAACACCTTTCAAAAGTGGTCTTGTCATTGGGGTTGTAGTAATCACAGTCGAAGTAACTGGACCAGCTGAAACTATTATTAGCTTTGTAGTAGAAACTTTCGAAAGAAATACCTTTCCCACCACCTTCACATCAGTCTTGATTTCTTGGCTTTCTTTGATATCTTCCCCAGCCTTCGTAAATTCTATCTTCTTTTCTCCCCCTTGAACCCCTATGAAAGCAAGTGGGGCATCCAATACTGCTGGAAGAAGGCTGGATATGCGAACAAGAGGTGATAATTGTTTGTGCAAGATTGCTTTGAATTGCACAAATTTCTGGGGTAAAAATTACGGAGTAATGAGAGATGATGACACTGGTTTGACTGATAACTCCTTCAGTTCCTTTAACAAAGTAACCAATTCATCAAAATGTTTTGCAGCCTGTTCAGAAAGATTGATGACCTGAGGATTCATTGTTTCATATAGCTTGACAAATCTAGTGACATCATTACAGATAATGTCAACTTTTTGATTGATGGATGCATAATCTTTTTGTACAACCTGAACTTCCTTCTGCATATCTTCCCGAAGTTCTGCAATTTGTACATTAACATCTTCACGAACTTTCTTTAATTCTTGAACATACAAAACATGCCTTTCTCTCGTGACAGCTTTCAATTCCTTCACTTCGTGTAAGAAATCCTTTCTTTGAGAACTCATCCTATTATCATTTGTTTGATCATTAATATCAACTTTCTCCAACACCCTTGCTTCAGAATCCCGTATCATCCCAGAAACTTTGTTTGTAACACGCCCTTCAAAGATTTTCAACATAGAATCCACCTCCAAACTTGAAACAAATGAACTACCCCCTATATCAGCCTGAGTTTGCAAAATCGAATTCAACTCTGAATTTAGAATTTTGAATTGCTTCATGGTCATCAACATGTGATCTGGAAACTCTTCTTATGTGTCATCAAACTGTAATGCTTCAAAGGTTCCTCCAAAACCTTCAGTATCAGTTTCATTTTCCATTGTATCATCAACAGGTGAGGTTGTTTTTAGTGGATCAGTGGATTGAGATGAAAAGAGTGAAGTAAAAGGGCTATTGATGATGTTTGCAAAAGTAGGTGAATCAGTGGTAGAGGTAATTGGAGGTAACGACACAACGATTTCAGAAGTTGGAATAACAATACCATGATCATCACCATCGCAGTTTTTGGACTCTCAATCTTCGCATTTTCAGAATCATCAGGCTCCACATTATCTGAACCCATAATGACATTTGTATCCGTATTAGATATGTCTACATTGATGTCATCAGCCTTCGAATTGTCACCAACCAAAATTGCTTCCGGAGTGTCAGGAATGACTTCTTCTTCATTTGTTGAAATATTTCCAAGAATCAACTTTCGTAACTTCTTGGATTTCTTCTGTTGTAAACGCTTTGCCATGTTTTCAGCCCGTCGTTTCTTCGAAGATGGAGAAACAGGTGTTGGAACCTCCCTGATAATAACCCCTTGATGTGTGACATGTGATTTATGACAACATGAGGTGAAGCCTTTCGCGAAGTTTTTGATTTCACCTTAATTTTTAAAAAAACTCCAGTTTTCGAAGGGATAGTTTCTTTCTCTTAAGTTTCGTCAATTATAGGAGAATCAACCATTGTATTATCAGCAACTGAGACATCTTGTGGAATAGAGTCATCAACATCTGCAGATTTCTTTTTAGGAGATTTTTGTGTCTTCGTTTTCTTGACTGGTTTCTCAGAAGAACTAGATTCATCTTTCTTTCCTGTCCTTGATTTCTTCTTCTCCTTTTCCAATAGAATATCAGATGAAACTGTGGTATCTATTGTTTGTTTGTACGCCAAAAACACAGAATTAGTAGGATCCAGCTTCTTCAGCATTGCATCAGGAATAGCATATACATGAAAAGTAGCCTTCTCATCATCATTAGACACCAAAATACCTTCCTTGTTGTAAAAATATTGCAAGATCAAGCTCCAGTATCTTGCACACGAAATTCCATGCTTTGCATCGGTACTTTCAACACTTTTCTGGAATTTTGCCCATAATTGCGAATCGTAATCTACCGGTAAGTCGTAGTATAGCCCTACAACCATGGCATATACTTCCATTCGTCCTTTATCAAGAGCCACTGTTCGTCCTGTTAAGCATCTTAGGAAGATACCAAACAAAAAATTCCACATACTAGGAAGACCTGACTTCTTGAAATCACTAATTCTTGATAATTGAGGCTGATGTCCCATCTCATTGAACATATGAACAATTTTAGGATAAGTAAATTCATCAAATGGTGGAGTATTGGGGATATCCAGAATTTGACAAAAGAGTTTCCTGGTGAGTTTGACCTTTTTATCATTGATGAGGTGAAACACAATTGCATCAAACGCCTTAGCAACAGAAGCAGTTGAACCAGCCTGAGACAACCAAGAGATTGGAACGGAAAAGGAGTTGAACATCGTCGTGGATAATACTGAACTTTTCAAGGCAGTCACCATCATCTTCAATTCGTCAGGATACTTTGATACATCACCTTCAACTTGATAGTTAGTACCCTGGATCTTCATAATGGGCATGGAAGTGAATTCATCGATATTTTGTGAAGGATCAGCATGAACATTAGCAGTCGCCATTGTTAGGGTTTTGAGAGTTTGAATTTGCAGAGAGAATTAGGAATTTTCTTTTAGAATCCTAAAGTGACAAAAGACTCATGAACCCCCCTTTTTATATGTAACCCTTCCGTTTGAATTAAAAGCGGGATAGCATTTAATGAATGCTGACATGACACCTTGAAAATCTAACCACTACTCCGTAGAAATAGCCATGCGTCAAAAAGTAACTGTCCCATCTCCGTAAAAGTAGGATACAATACGATACGTCATTGAAATACAGCAAGTTTGTTTGCCCCAAGAGAATTGTAACCGTCGGACCCCTTCAGATTGAGGTTAAGCTCTTTCACTTTTGGGATGAAAAGCGAAGTCATATGCTAGATGTTTGAAATCATCAGACTGAGCTGGTATTACTCAGATCCTCAAGGATTTCGTGAGTGCAGTGTTCTAAAGAAAGTTAGACAAGAAACAAATTTAAAAAAAAAAAAAAAAAAATTGGAATCTGTGATGTCAAAATTTTATTTGACACAAAGGCAGTTAAATCCCGGGCAAAGATTACTTCATTAATTATCAAGAGAGATAATTGTAACAGAAATTACTAGTTTGACCAGTGTAGTCAGTGACAAGTTGGTATTGAAAAATTTTAAGGCTATCTTTTGTAAGGCCTCAAAGGTGGCTTCGAAATTTCGTTACATATCAACCTAAACATAAGGTGATCAATTGTAACAGAAATTACTTGTTTGACCAGTGTAGTCAGTGACAAGTTGGTATTGAAAAATTTTAAAGTAACAGGAATTTGCTAATTAAACTCTTACGGAAATCATATTCATGAAAAAATACTACTGGATCTTGTTGGGTATCTAACATCATGAGGTTCGAATGTTTGATCAAGACCACGCATAAGAAATGAATATGATTTGAAGTTTAGAAAAGAGGTACTGAAACAAAAGTTTCGTAAAATCTGGATCATAGTTCCCCATCCATTCATTAATTAGATAGATTTGTGAGTTTCACTTTAATCACAGTCTCATGATGTTAGATCATAAGCACAGAGTTTGATATGTCTAAGTTTTTATTGGTTTTATCAAAGACCTCCAGGACATATCCCTTCGTATTTGAGTATGATAGAATTTTTGTTGAAAAAAGATTGATGTAAGAAACAAAGTGTACCTCTGTTATATTTGGACAAAACAGAAAACTCTTAACTCACATGAGAAGAGTCAGGTAGCTCAGGAGACTAATGTGAATACAAGCCTGATTGGGAAGAAATCTTCGTATGAAAATTTCATTAAGGCTTTCTTTTATACACATAGAGTCATTGGAGGCTTAAGTCAACATACAGCAGCATGCTTCTAAGGACATTTTAACTAGTTCTGAATGATTAATGTTTAAAGATTCGAAAGAACGTGATAGACCTGACCCTATAAAAGCAAATAAAGAAGTCTTCACGTAATTATGAGGATCTGCATCACAATACCAAAAAAAATTTGAAACAACAAAAAAAATCTTTTTGAGTTTTTGATTTTTCGAAAATAACAAAACAATTTTTTTTTTTATTTATTTAAAAGAAAAGAACAAAACAAATGAAAAATATTTTTGATATTTTTGAATTTTCGAAAATAACAAAACAACACAAAAATATAAAGGATACTGAGTGCAAACACAAGAAGAGTTTGTATGTCCTCCCAAATGACAAACGGACGAATACAAAGCGTACGAAGAGTTGACTATAAACAGTAACCACTGATAGTTAAATTTTCTCTAAAGTGACAAACGTACGAATACGAAGCATACGAAGAGTTTGCCTTGAATTGTATTCAGCACCTTTGAACGATTTCTAAATAACCATTATCTTTCGCTTTTGTGTAAAAGAGAGTTTCCACTAATCATTCCCAATCCTTCCAAATTGTGAACAAATGATTTTTCATCCAAAACTTTTGTGAAAATATCAGCAAGTTGATCCATTGTTTTCACAAAATGAACTTCAATATTGCCTTCCTCCACATGATCTTTTATGAACTGATAATGAAGAGCAATGTGTTTAGTCTTCGAATGCTGCACAGGATTATGACAAATTCTTATTGCACTTTGTGAATCAAAATATAATGGAATCTTTTTCATATTAATTGCATAATCTCTTAATTGACTTTGAATCCAAATTATTTGTGATGTGTAAGCAGCAACTGCAACATATTCAGCTTCAGCAGTAGAAATTGAAACACATGTTTGTTTCTTTGATTGCCAGCTAACCAATCAATGCGTCTAATTTGTGTAATTATGGAACCTTATATTTTGGTGGGTATTTTGCTCGATTATGCCCTGTAGGTTTGGTAGTTGTTTTGATTATCCTTTTGACAATTCTGGAAATGGTTTGGTGGGTCATCAACATGTAATTTCATAATCAAAATTAATTGGCGCAATTCGAGTCGACTTTACTCTTGGAATCTATTTTGCCTTAGTCATGTTGTAACATATTCTCGGTGTAGTGGGATTGATATGGGATCTTATATATATATATATATATATATATATATATATATATATATATATATATATATATATATATATATATATATATATATATATATATATAATACTAGGCGAATCCTCGTGCGTTACGCGCGAATATAAATATTTAATTAAAATAATAAAATTTTACAAACTATGATTTAGTATTTATACATGCAAAAACCAATATCAGTAGCAAAATAAAACATAAAGTTAATCTATTAGTTTTAATAACTATAATAAGTTTATATCGTTGATTATTTCTACTATTAATTAATGAGTTTATAGACTGTTTTATGTTATGTAAATCTATATCAAGCGTGTGTTCATTTCTCTCTCTCTCTCTCTCTCTCTCTCTCTCTATATATATATATATATATATATATATATATATATATATATATATATATATATATATATATATATATATATATAAGTGGTTAAAATAATTATGGGAAAAAATAGAAATATGTTGAAATTTATATTTTTAGTCATGTTTTGGGAATTAACCGAATTATCAAATAACATAAAAATCCATCAATTTATATTTTGATACTATCTAATATAGTCCATACCTTATAAACTTTACTTTTAATTTTATAATATCCAATATATATTATAAGTTTTTATATAACATTAATATATTCTACTTTTCTTATGTCCGATAATATTGAATTTTGGATAAAATAAAAAATAAGTTGTCTTCAGTGAGTTATTAATAAACAATATTGAACTAATAAACTTTGTATGACACTATTTATATTACACCAAAACATCCAAGGTTTCATATATGAATTTTCAAATATTAAACATTGAATTTAAGAATGAAGTCATACAAAATATATATATCATTATACATAAATGTCATCAAGAGTTTTAAAATAAGTCAATTAGTAAATACGATATTTAATTTTAATTACATATTTTGCAAGGCGTACTTTTGACTTTATGTTGGTGCGCCGAGAATCCTCTTCCTTAATTTGTACCTAAAAAATTTAAGGTGAATAGAAATATAAAATAGATATTACTAAGTATTAATATAAATAATTAAAAAATGTATGTAGATCTCGTACCACCAGTTAAAGATAACATACATCTCTAGTGGTATCGATTCTTATATAAAATTGAAGTAGTCATTCTATGTATACCTTGTTTTCTAATTACATAAACAAATATGAGTAACCAAACATAAAAATGTGATCTTTATGTTGGGAAAATATTTTTGTTTAACAAATAAATTAAATAATATAAGTTTAAAAGTTAGGAGTTTCAAAACATTAATATTTTTATTAATTAATCAATTAAGTAACACATGTTAAATAAATTTTGGTTGAATTGTTTTGACATCTATATATATATATATATATATATATATATATATATATATATATATATATATATATATATATATATATATATATATTAGTGTTGTAAAAATCTCGATTAGGTCCCGATTAATCTCCGATTAATCCCTAGGCGCTGCCCGACCGATTAGAAAGGTGTCTAGTGATTAATCCTTGCATAAAAATGACTTAAATAGTAGAAAATAATGAAAATTTAACACTTTGAAGATATTCTATCTCAATAGAAACCATTTGAGGAATGATTAATGTTTTATTAATCATATTAACCTATTTTATTAAGATATTAGTGGTATTTACGAACTTTGTTATAATAGTAGTCATATTTAATTTTTGAAAATTTAACGAGTTAGCAATTAATGGTCCTCGATTAATCCCCACTTAGCCGATTATTTCCTTAACTCA